TATATATATATATATATATATATAAAACATATTTTAGTTTATTAATACTTTTATATATGTTCTATTTTAATCTGAATGTGTATAAATCTCCTGATATACATATATAAAACATTATATAAAACATATATAAAAGTATTAATAAACTAGAGTATGTTATAGAAAATATTTCATTTATCCTTTAAAGCGATACCGATGATAGTCCAGTATGAAAGTACAAGATTAAATCGAGTACTCCGCTGAAAGTGGTTTAGGTAAGAAACGGAAGGATAATAAACGCGAAAGCGACAGTCCTTTTAATCTTGAGAGGATAAGAGTGCTCGAGGACGAAATCCGACGAGGATACTGAGAAGCATTGTTCATTTCGACGATATAAAACTGAATTGTGCGATCCGACGCGAACTTCGTTCTCTCAAAAGTGACTTTCCAAATGTGAGGGGAATAAGATTTTCTCTGGAATTAAGGAACCTTCTTCTCTTTTTCCACCTCGATAAAAGTCAAGTCAAAAGGATAACTTTACATTCTCCCTCTTTCTCGCTCTTTTCCTTTCTTGAAAACATAGAGGTCTCCGCTCTGCTTCTCATCGCGAAATTTGGCAAATCGATGATTTATTCCGGAAAGTTTGAATTGGCTCACGATATTAAAGATTGCGCGCACAAAATGGCTCAAGTAAATTCTCATAAGGAATGCGATAGATATTGATTCTTTTGCAGTGACAAAGTTAAAACCAATCTTAATTACAATACTTCTTCCCTTTACCGATGTGATAATCTTGATATAACTAACTGCATGCGTTCATCGCGTGCGATGATTGATTCTACGAATCAAAGAACCCATCAGAATTTTTTACAATTCAATTTGTCAATTGAATCTGGCGAGTGAATGGAGCCTGTTAAAAGTTTCGCCACGCTTTTTTTCTCGGCGAGTATGTCCCGAGCTCGCGTAATCGCGTTTGTCATGCGAGAACCGATGCTGAGTGGGACGCTATTACGAATAAACGTTACGAACTGATTCCAATTAAGGGCTATTATAGGGTCGTTAATAATGGCGCGCAGCACACGAGGTCGATAACGTTGTTTGGCAGATTGTAGTGCGCGCCAACTATAATGAATTACAAGGGACTGTTACAAAGTGTCGTTAAGTCACAATAATATATATTATTTATGAAATCGTATAATTTTTTTCATATATACAAATCAATCCTTCACAGTGGAAGCATTAAAATCTTCGAAAAATGAATACTTCACGAGATGTTTCATAAATTTCATTCTGACATATTCTGATATTTTCTTGTAGAATATTATTCTTGTGCAATTTTAATATACATGTGCAAGATAGTTTTTTCGAAGAAGAACATCGAATTAAAGTTCATCCAAAAAGTCTGGTCCATAATAGTTAACCTAATAGTTAAATTAATAGTTAAATTTCTAATTTTTTATTACTCAGAATAAATTCTTTGAAATGTTGTGGATTTTTTTAGGATGCCTAATGAGAACGTGTGTGCCTGTGGCGTAGTCGTGGGTTTGCCGAAATGCCAGGGAAAGCTGGCCATCCTTCTGCCCAAGACGAAGGGCAACAAGTCAGAGGGCAAGAGCTCGCGGAAACAACTCGAAGAAGGGCAAGTACCGAAGACTCGAACGTCGAATGAGACCGGAAGCAGCAGCATGGTGACTGAATCCGTGAGATCCACGATGAAGAGCAGCAAGCACGAGAAGCGGCTCACTCACTCGAGGAGGACTCGAAGCGCCGACAGAGCCGAATCACATTATACTTATATTGGTCAGTCAGTTCGCGTATTAAGTTCAAATTTTGTTAATATTATCATGATGTCGAAAGAATATTTATTTCAAATATCTATCATATTTTACAATATTATAGATGTTTTTGAAATGTGTAGCCACTTTTAAATTTATAATATTAAGAGCCTATTCTGTGTGCTTGAGCCTTTCTGTAACTCTTAATGATTGTAATTGTAGTGTTACAGTGTTATCGCGCATGTTTCGTACAAGAAGAGCTGCGGAATTTGTTACAGTCATTAAGAGTTACAGAATAGGCCTTTAAATTAGATTTAATTTGAGTTATTTTTAATCATTTCTATTCATTATATTATTATTGAGTTGTCCGGAAAGTTCGTGCTGATTTTGAAGGAAAATTGAAACGCAGAAGATTTGAATTTTAGTATACATTTATTAAATTTAAATCTTTTGCGGTATGAATTTTTCGGACAACCCAATAATTTAATTACAAAAACATAATTAAATAATTTAATTTAAGAAAATATAACTCAAAATTAATTTATTATTTATAAAATATGTTCATACGTGTGTTCATATAAACGTTGTTTACTTTAAAATTAATCTCAGAAATGTGAATTGAGATTTATATTTTGACATACATATATGGAAGTTAAAAATAAATGTTATTTAACTCAAGAGATTGGATTATCATATTGTTTCTCTAATATTCAAGTATAGAAAATATAAAATACATATATAAATAAAAGTTCATTAAGATTAGGGAAAAAGACAGAAAGAATTTTTTTCGACATTATATAGATTCGGGCTCGAGTATCCTCGGCGGTGGGATTCGTGAAAATACTATACCGGAAGCGCTGTACGCCACCATACCAGATACGCCAAATGCGAGCGTCAACGAAAGTGGGACGAGTCGGCCAAATTCACAGAGCAGATCGCAACCTGTTTATTCCGCAATTCCGTCTATGACGTCGCCACCACCGACATACGACGTTGCAATTGCAAAAACGTGGCAGGTGAGATTTACCGCAGTTTAATTATGTTGTATATGTTTTTCTTTCCGTTTGATGTTAATGCACAGTAAATAAAAGAAGCGTCGTTAATGATATTGCTATATTTCTCACAGCGCTTAGAGTTAAATTCAATAGTAAATCATCTCGTAATAATTTCTGGTTTGTATTATAACACCCGAGTTAATTTTCGCGAAATTAAACATGTATGTATATGTACACAATACGCAAAGCAGCATTGAATTTATTATCTCCTAATTTAAATTTAATATAATATGATAACAATATGATAACAACGTAACAATGTAGTAGCATCTTCATAAATTAAATTTAAATATTTCAATATTAATCCATAATACTAAGACCGTTTATTGTAATTAAATTTATCATTTATATTTCTCTCTCTCTCTCTCTCTCTCTCTCTCTCTCTCTTTCTCTCTCATCCTAAAATTCTACACGGTCATGTATCCCAAATAGCAAAAATTAAATAAGCTAAATTAAATATCTACAAGCTTTTATCAATTGTATATCATTAAATGTAATATCATTTTAATCGAATTTTCTGGTCGTTGATCCGTGCTATATAAAGATTTATCAGTTTGTTCAACTCGTCACTTGCACTCTTGATGAAATTGGAAATTCTTGCGATCGTCGGATTTAAGATCGCCGCGCCGTTGCTGTCATCCAAAGTGATGTTCTGAAAAACAATGCCAACTACAGCTCTTTCGGGGAACTGACTTAATAAATAATACATTCTACGTTATTACTTCCCTACGAACTACTTTTTCGAGCTAGTACTTCAACAAAGATAATATTGCGCAGTTACCGTTGTACAATGAAGTTCAGAGCAGCATAAGCGGACAGCAGTTCCCGACAGCGGTCAATATTCTACAATGGCCACAATCGGCATTCGGTCATTTGTAAGAGCGTAACGCTCGTAAAGCAATAACAACTGGTAGGACAATAGTTACAAATTGTCATCGTCTCCCGCATGCTTTAAATGATGTAACGATATAACCGGAATATTAATTCCAGCAATCGTAGATACTCTGCATTACTCGCGTATTAATATAACGATGCAGTCGCGACACATGCAGCATATCAACGACAATATACCGGTACGCTTCGCTTCGACTAGTTCCGTCCGATAAAGCCGATTATTCAATCACATAATATCTCGAGTTATCGAAACGAATTATCGCTCCGTACTGCGGGTACGCGATCGCGATAGCTCTTGCAGGAATGTCGTACGTCACTTGATGTGTATTCTGCTGCGCAATTCTGTGATGAACAGATGACGAGGAAATTGGCAGCGATCTAACAATCAGTCACCTTCCCCAAAGTGTCCTGAAGATCGATAATCGAAACGAAGCGCATTCAGACTAGAGCACTGTAATCGATCTCGCGCGTGATTGCGGTACAATCGCAAATTAGCCTTTTGTGGACCGCCACAAATGAGTTATTAGTAATTACAATTAGTAATTAGTCAATGTTGACGACTACGATTAGTAAAACATCAAATCTCGCAGTCGTTATGCAAACAACACGATCTTGCAATAACAAGAATTGCAATTACTATATTAAGCTTTTACAAGATTGATTCTGCGGTTTTTGTAAAAAAGAAAAATTATTTTAAATTTATTTTTAATACGACGGTGTTTAGAAAACTGCGACACAATTGCAACAAGTAAAAAAAAAAAAGAAATTAAAACCATATTACAATACATTTTTTATAATTAATCAGTTTTTAAGAAAATGCAATTTTATATATAAAAATATTTAAGCGCGGTATGCGTTTATTTAATTATGTCAATATTCATTTGTTGACGTATATATAAGATAATGACTTATCATACATATATTATTCTGTTGTGCAATATACTGTATTATTTTTATAATGACAAATTTATAATGACCTCATTTTATTTTTATTGACCATTTTTATAATTACAAATATTGATATTGTTTCTGTTTTTATTGACCATTTAAAATAACAAGATATAATAAGCGTAAATTCTTTTATATAATAAGTGATATATGTACTTTTGGTATCGACAACTAATGTTGGTTTGGTTTAATTATTATACGAAAAGATTTAATATTTAAAAATTTAATTACAGAAAATAATTTTGTTAGGTTTTCAAAATAATTATTTAAAATGCTCAATCTGATTGTTAGAGTGTCAAAATTTTTTGTAACATTGCTCCTCAGGCTTAAATTTCTTACACAATTATTTTGATAGTCTAACAAAATTATATTCAGATCTGTATCTATAAGCTAAAGTTTTATGTATTTTGGTAAAATTATTCTTTCCATATACAAATAAAATACATATGCATGTATATATTTTCTACGTTCCTGATATTTAAGCGTTAATAATATAAACGTAACACATCGAAATATCTGAATCTAGTTTAATGTCCGGTCTGACAACTGTACGGAACAGAGTACAGAATAAATTACGAAAAGCTTGTCAGACTGTTTCGAAAAATCTGTTTATCGTTTTGTAAGCTATCGTGTGTAAACTTCAGTTGTGCAACATATAGTTGTGTAACATATCTCTTGTTTTATGTACGTCTTACATTTTACATACATATGCGAAAACGTTAAAATGTTATTTGCAAAATTTATTATGTATTGTATAACTGATCATACATCAAGATTGATGATTCTACGCATTCCGCAGAAATAATGTTGAAACATGTTACATTGTAACATCCTCTTCATCTTTCGTTTCCAAATCAATCTAATCTGATTCCGCGCGTGGTTATAATTATTTAAAATTATTGCAGCCCAAATTACGCAACAATTCCGGTATAATAGTCTAGATTAACTCTAAAATATTCAAAAGTTTGAATCTATATTTTATATTCTTTTTTACAATGAACAATGTATTACATTATGTCTATACTATGAGTCTTTACGAGCAATATCGATTCGTGACGACGCAGTAAAAACATTTTGTTCGTGCTCTCGACATTATATGCATGTGTCAGTACATGGTGAATTCGAGCTTATATTCACAGATCGAAAATATCAATATATGTCATACTGCGCTTCTATAAAAAAAAATCTAGTTACCATTAAAAAAATTTAAATCCGCAAATTTAATCTATGAATTTCATTGACAAATCCTTTTTTATAGAAAAAATCTTTATATTACATTATTTTGATTTAGTTCAATGTAAAATCACATATCAGCTTATATAGTCATTGTAGAGATTTTCTCAAATATCAAAGTTTGTCTATTATTATCTATTATTCTGTATTATTCTGATAAAATACTGAAAATTACAAGCAATATCTCAATAATGCTAAATTTAAAATAGTCTAATATTTGCCTTTGTTTCGTTCGATTTCTTGAAAAAGATAAAAAAAGTAAAAGCATTGTTACAATATTGCTACGATTATTGTTTCACAATTTATTTAAATACGATAAAACAAAACAAATAAGCAGTGAAGTTTATGTTTTATGACGAAATTTTTTTTGTACATTCTTTGTCTGACTCTATTATACAGAGCCATAATAATATAAACATTTCAATTTATATAATACATATATATATAAATATCAGGGAATGAAAATAACTAGTTATTGTAACTGTTGTTATTTAATTATTTTGTTGTAATAACAATTTACGCAATTGACATTGTGAATTTTTTATAGTGATAATGTAATACCAGAATTAAAACAGTTAATATTACTTATTACGGATTGGAAATGTGTTTTGTTACTAGAAAATATAACTCACAATTTTTATAACTCGATCATTAATTTTTAATGTAACTTGTAATGAAGTATTATAACTTTAGACTATTATTCCGTTACTTATTTTTTCTTTAATAAGTAACACGTAATGAAGACAATTTAATTTTCAAAATAACTTTCCTAACCTTAGCGTAATCTAATTATAGTTAATTTTTACAGTCATTAAAAATTGTAACGACATTATCAAAAATTGTTATTATAAAAAGTAACTATAATATAAAAGTAACGAAAAAGTAATTCTTCCATTTTCTAAATATATTATATCAATTCTAATACAATAACCCTAATATCTGTAAAACATAAAAATGAGCAATAAACAATAATAATTGATACGAAGTTTACGGTGATATAGTGCTTGAAAATGCAATTAACTTCATGTGCTGTTCGATCCACTGCCTGTACATTAAATTTCGGCGACCCAATTGTTCGAGTTTGCTTCGGTCACGTTCCTTCGAAGAGATTCACCGTCTCAAAGAGGAGTTGCTTTATTGAAGCGAACAACTACGACAGGAATAGCGAGATGGAAGAGAGAAGGAGGAAAATTCAATGTACGGCTTCTTAACTCGAAGACCATTCTAATTCGGTTGGCTGCCCAATTTCGCGTGTAGTCCTCCGGCGCCGACTGGAACATAAATTCTTCTGTCGTGTTATGCTATAAGTAGTTGTTGTCATTGTTACAGTCAAAAAACTGATATTTTGCACCGAAAAATCGGTGGTAAACTTCACAAATTCGTAATCATCTTATTTTCAAAATTTCTGCAATACGAATTTATTAATGTTAAAATATAAATCTATCTCGGAAAGGAGATAATCTTGTTTACGTGGCTACATACTTTAATAATATATTTATTTTTCAATATGAAGAATTAATGAACATGATTATCTTCTTTTCAGTAGATTATCTTGTTATTTTAATATTAAACTGTCGAATTATAAAAAAAATTGTTTAAAAGATTACAAATTTATGATGTTTAGTACCTACATTGTAACATTTTTCAGTGCAAAATATTAATTTTTTATTACATAATTTTGTTCTTTCATGAATTGTCAAATTTTATGTTAGCACACCATTTATATTGAATAAAACTGTCTTTTACTTACATTTTAAAATTAATATTCTTTATAAAAAAAGAACAATAAATGATCATGGAAGATTTTTGTGACAATACTATTTTTCAAAATATTGGAAGTAAAAAATATCAGAGTAAAATTCCAACGATTATCTCGCATCGATTTTTTCTTTTATATTTATTGTTACGGAGAGAGCGCTATTATTTGCGCGCGTGTGATGAAATGATAATGGTATATTATTCGGTTTGTCAAATAATGTTAAAGAAAAAGCTCGAGGTCGAGGAATAATCGCGGTGACAATTTTTTAACAGGCTTCTTATGTTTCGCAATAATGAAGAGACTCCATTTTCACTTGGCTGCTCCAAAATGAAAAGGTCATCAAAGGAGATCGTGAAAAAGAGTTAAAATTGTTCTCAATCTAGAACGTTGCGCAGCAGTGTCGCTCGAGCGAGCAAGCGCAAGCTCGGAAACTGCTCGTATGAAATGCAAAACCATCCTGGAGAAGTTCACTACGCACAGCTAAATTGTGTGGTCTGATAAAAGAAGACTCGGAAAAACATCCTCGAGACCATAATTGCGGATCATATATCTTACAGAAAAGAGGGAGATAGAGGTAAATAGAGAGAAAGAGAGAAAGTGAGAAAGGCGGGGAACAAGTTATAGTTGCTCGTTAGTCGACCCATGATTACTATGATATATTTTAGATTATTTATATAAAAGAAAGAGAACATTATTTTCTGCTAGATTTTTCTCGGAAGAGCTACTTTATGAGCGTCATCAGGAATATGTTTTAAGCATTTCAGAATATTTTGTCATCTCTTTAATACTTTCTACGTGTACTTTGCGATTAATTCACTAATACCTTCACCCGATACAATTTCAGTTAGTGAAATGAATTTTGCGTGCATCCAAGGTTTTTCAAGGCTCCAATAATATCTTCGTTTACAAAATGCGATTGTGCGCAAAAGATTAAATCGTTATGGCGATCAAATAAAAAAAGGAGAAAAAAAAAGGAGCAATAGGCTTTTCTCTCGAGAGCTCTTGAGCTTACTTCACGAGGTCCTTTAATGAATGTTTCCATTCATGAGCTGCAAGCGTGCGAAGCACTCGCGTCTTCTACTTTGAATAACAGCCTTGCCTTTACTATTTTCTCGCGAGGCCGCGAGGGCTACATTATGCCCGGGAATCACTCATTTGTCAGAAATCCCCTCGCAAGAAGGTGCAAAGAGGTTCCCTCTTGGACATGTGGGACGAGAAAGTCCTTTATCGAGCGAACGAGGTGATTCGGTTCACGCAATTACGAGCAAACTGACGTGTGTTATCATCCTTGCGAACTTCCGGGAAAACTTGGTCTCCTTCGCCAATGAAGTTTTCTCTATCATAAGATCGTAATGAAAGTTCTGAGAACTTCGGAACATCGATTCCAGTTAGGGATAATTATTGGACCAAATATCAGATGCTAGATAACAAGTTTCACTGAATTCTACAATTCTGATTGCGAGTCGACTTGTTGCAGACGCAGTGTCATATCAGCGAACTGAAAATTTCATGCCGTAATATGTTGCCGTGGGTGAAAAGCCACGTAGTTAAGTTGTCTTTGTGAGACGAAGCATTTACATTAAAAAACGGCGGTTTTGAATATTTAGGTAGAGAAATAATATGTAATACTCTGAGGCTTCACGAGACTGCTCTGCAGTTAGAGAATGTAAGATATATTCTCGTAGGTTTGCTCTCGTATTAATTTCACCACGTGAATTAATCCAAATGATACAAACGGCGCAAATGATGAAGAGGGACCAAAGGCTGATTTCGGGTGCAAGAG